AATGTCTATTAAAATTAATAATAATAATTAAAAAAAAGATTAAAAAAAAATACCTGTTTCATTAACAGAGAGCTGTGGTGGTCCAGTCCTTAGGGAGTTGTGATGTTAACCCAAAGGTGACACCTCTGTGGTGATTCTAATCCACCAGAAGCTGAGAGAATGAGATTCAGTGACACTATAGTCAACCACCCATTTCCCTAGGCAACACTCAGCTGGATTAAAGAGAAGTGATGATCTTGTGTCTCTCACCAATCGGCTGAATTAACAGAACAAGCAGTCTGCACCTTTTGTTCTACCTCAGTCTCATATCTGCAAATATATAGTTTATCTAGAAGACCAGTTTGTCACATCAAAGAAAACTTTGTGAGAAATGTGTGTGGGCACCGTAACTGCGGCATTTGAAAATTTATTTATTTTTTTCTTGGTTTGCTTACAAAGTTCATACACATTGTGTTTCACACTGTTCTTCATTAAAATTGTGTTTCATACAATTATTCTCAGGCATTATTTTTATAAAATTAATCACCACTGGACCTTCCATAATTACCTGGGTGAAAAGACAGGGTAACTGTGGCATTTTTATGGAAAGTTGAAACCTTGCACGTATACCTTGCACATTAAGTATCTCGGGTAGAACTGTTAATCACAGATACTTCTCTTGTTCTTCTCCCCCAAACTTTCTCCTCTTCACAGTGTGCCAGATAAAACTGCTTTTCTTGACTTTTTGCAACTACTATGGTGTATTTTCTCCCTATAGCACTTGCATGTTGACATGATGCTAACAGGTGTGAGTGGAGCTTCGAGATTAAGACAGACTAGGAGGAAAAGTCTGGTGATCCACTCTTGGAATTTTGTCCAAAATAATCCTTTGGCTCACAATGGTCCAATCTGAAGGTAATCAGATGTGCAGGATGGGGCAGCATTTAGTGCCATGACACATGGGTCACCACGGGCCGGACACCAACCAGGCAGCAGCTCACAGCGACACAGCAGGAGTAGACAGACCTCGTGTACAAGGTCAGTGGCTACTTCTTGAAATAAGTGACCTTTAGGCTAAGCACTGAGGGATGACATTTTGAGACAATTAATGTGTGTTCTTGTAAGCAGCAAAGTTTGTGGTGCATTGTAACAGCACTAGAAACTAAAAAAGTCATGACTTCCTGGGGATAGAAACACTTCCTCTCTCTCCTTTGCATCCCCCCCCAACAACCTTTTTAATCTTTCTCCCCTCCATTTTTATTTCTCTTTATTGAATATAAAATATAGCTGTTTAAAGAGTAAGGTGTACCTGATCCAAGCTATGGAATTTTCGGTTGCTTTCTATGCATTTGAAATGTGGCCAATGAATAAGGATGAAAGAAGAAGAATCAATGCCTCTGAGCTGTGGTGCTGGAGAAGAAAACGGAATATCCCATGGGCTGCCAAGAGAACAAATAAGTCTGTCTTGGGAGAAGGGCAACGAGGGTGCTCCTTAGAGGCAATATGAGAAAAATGAAGCAAAACTCAAGTTGGGTGCCAACAGAAGGCAAAAGTCAAATGAAGTGGCCAAGACCAAGCCCGACCCATCAAAACCAGGGAGCCCATAACATTAAACCAGCGTGCCTCACAATCTTGCATGCACAGTACCGGCTGTCCCCTACGCAGCCTGAGTAGTGTTTTAAACATATTAATGATGCTTTGAAAATGGACTAGAGTTAAGAATTGTCCATCAAAATCTGAACTCTATGCAATGTCATCACATTGGCCCAAACTCACACTTGGAAGATCAACAAGGAACTGAGCTAAGCTATTAACTCACAACACACGTAGCACATCTTTCTCCACTTCTTTACTTTCTGAGAAATGACCAGTCTCCCTATCTGAGATGTACATTTCCTATTAAAAGAGTCTTGACTTTCACCTTCACTCCTGTCTCCTCTCCTTTCCACTCAGCCATCTCCTCTAACAAGTGTTCGGCCCATCCCAGGATTACTTTGAACAGAATAATCTAAAAAGGGCTGGACCAGGCCAAGACCAGGAATTCGTCCATGATCTTCCTGTTATCTGTCACCCTGTTTAATTATTTGTCTGGGCAAAGAAAACAGAAACCAGAGCATTGACCACATCATAACAGCATTGCCTTGAACATGTCCCTTCACCTAGTGAATTTCAGTTTTCTATTCTGTAAACAGAGATAATACAAGGATTGTTAAGAGGTTTAAAAGACTCACAGGTCAAATTTCAGTCTAACAATGGAGGTCTATAAAGTTGACAATAACACCAGGGAAGAATGCATTTCTTCAATTAAATGTACAAGACCAAAAATGTAGCACATGCTCTCAAACACAGTTTAGAAGGCAGGAAGAGCAGGGAGGATGAACGGAAACAGTAAACACAGGGAACATCAGGGCAGCATGCCGTTGCATTGTGGAGACTGCAATCATTGTCATGAAACAAAATGTGTGTAACTTGCTGAATGGAAAATTAATTTTACTTTGTCATCTTTCACCCAAACCATGAGTGAAAAAGAGAGTGAGAGAAATGGAAGATCGAATGCACGTAAGTGCTTTGCCAGAGTTTGTGGGTGTGGTAAGCAGGGCAAAAATGCTCCAATACTAGGGAAAGTCTAGTCTCTAAAATGAGATATGGACTCCAAACAAACTTGGGCCTCAGAGGAACCAAGCAGTTGTTCTGGCTTTTCACCCATTCATCTGATGACCTCCGATCAGCACTATCACATGCAGGCCCTGGAGAAGATGCTGTCACAGTCCCTACCTTCTTAGTTTAGCCCTGATTCTGGATGCCAGCAAGGGAGATAGGTCTGTGTTCGGTCATCTCTCTTCTTCCCAAGTCCATCCAACCACTGGCCACTCAAGGAGCTCTAACGACCTACTAGGTAAGGAAGTGCACAGTCAACCCAAAAGCACATGGTTCGAATCCACTGTGACAGAGAGATGGTCAGTCTCCTTCTGTGTGGTTTATAATATCTGAATA